ATTCGTTACACCACAAAAAACTAGAGCTGAAAGAAGACCACGATAGTAGCCAGTGCTGATGTTCCATTCCAAGACTATGTACTAGCTTCCAGAAGTAAACAACCTTTGTGAGCATCGTTTTAGCTTACTATAGCCTTTCAGGTTTCGAAATTTAAGCATTATAGTGTCACTTAATTTTTAATCTTGTTTTTCCTCTATCTTTTTTATGTTTTTTTTTTCAAGACTCATGTAATATCTTCTGCAATAGCTGGGGAGATTTTGGGGCACCCAAACAGCAAAAATAGGATTTCTTGGGGTACTCCAGTTTTCTCATCCCCACAACTAATTCTTGGGTATTGGATTTATCGATCCCAGCCCAGGTATAGGAAATGAAGATCTGGACTCCCTAAAGGACCACAAGTCCAATATGTGTCGTTTATTAGCTTTCTGTTAACTTTTCAACTACTGGGCTTCGCGTTCTCCAATGGCTCCTTCTCTTTTATCAGTATAAAGTTGTTGTTTTTTCGACTTTTTTTTACATGTATATATACATGTGTTCGTTTATGGGTACGTATCTATATGTGTAACTACCAGGTCTAATTAACACGTAATAATTTTCAAGTTCTTGATGTCAGCAGATGTTTTCCAAGACGTGTTTTTGGTTCAGCGTTATGGAAAATATACTTTTGCTTTTTAATAATGGGATAATTAGTACAGGTTGAAAACAATATACGTATCACAAACAATAAAGTGAAATAACTGAATTTTACTACTAATGTGATTTAACTTTTTCATTTCAATAATCAGTCTTTATACATCCTACTTTACAAGCCCAAACCGTTATTTGAACGAGGTGTCCCAACATTTTACTAACAATTTACAGTTTACTTTCCTTCAGTGACTACACTGTCCCACCAAATGATATCTTGTTTTCTCAAAATCAGTTTCTCATATTTCCTATTTTGCGTGTAATCTAGAACGCACTAAGTATCTTTTAAGTTTCTCTCGCATTTGAAAGAAATCAGAAGGGGGGTGTAAATATTTTGTTAAATGTGTAGTCTCTTGGTAGTAAACTGAAGTTGTATTTGACAATTCTGTCATTCTTTTTGTTTAAAGAATGATATGTAAGGACTAAAGGAACTTTGTTAGTTAGTGGTTTATTACTGAAGCGGAGACAGTTAGGTTGTGATAAACTGAATGTGTTTAGCCTTATTATCGTTACGTCTCCGTTTGTTAATTGATTTTCCGTAACTTCGTTCCGACGAAACTTTAGCGACACAAGTCCTTACTTAATAAAACTGGTTTATTCTTTCCGAATACAACTTTACGATACACTTATTTTCAACAGTCGCTCTATAACAAACGCTATATCAACGAACGTCAACAATACTTCTGACTGCAGTTCAATTACTCACTACCTACACACACATTAATGTCACGTTGTCACCCTCTTATATATATACCAGCCTACCCCATCTAGTAAATGCTAGGGCATTCATGAAGGAACAAGATAGTTCTAGAAACATGGCGTCACACTAGTCATGTGACTTCGGTGACGCAACAATATCAAAAAATATAATTATGAATTATGAGGATCACGCACAAGATACTTAACACACAACTTATGAAACTAAATATCAAATATGAAATGCAAACACACTGTTGCATCTTAATTTAGAAAAGTTTGTTGTAGAAAAATATATAGTGGTATTGTCACAGACTTGTTTTTTGAGAGAGAGAAAGAGAAAAAAAGTTTGAGGACATTTGGGTTATATGTTTAACCCATGCTTAACCAATTAAGGATATATAGTCAATATAACATAACATTTTGGGACAACATGGGACCTATTGGTCCATATCGGCTGTTCCATCCTTTAAATTAAATTAAAATAATTGAAAAAACAAATCTTAAAGCCAGCCCTTATCATTCATGTATTTATCAGGCTTTTTCTTAAACTCGCTTAAACTTACTACCTCAACAACATCCCAAAGCCAACCACCCTGTCAAAAAAAAAGAAACTGTCTTAGCTGAAGATGACACCTACCTTGTCGAAATTTATATTTGTGTCCCCTAGTCCTACTATTCTCACTGTTAAATATGAAAAAAGATGATACATCAACACTATCAATTTCCATTACCTGAACAATTTTAAACACCTCAATAAGATCTCTAAATTTTTTCACAATAAAACAATTTCTTAACCTCTCCTTGTATGACAACCCCTCCATCCCAGACACTATTCTAGTAATCCTTCTCTGAACCCTTTCCAACAATTCAATGCCTTTCCTAAGGTAAAGAGCCCAAGACTGAACACAATAATCTAAATGTGGCCTAACCAGTGAGTTGTACAATGAAATTATAACCTCTTTATATATGATTGCATCTAATTTTATTTCATTCATCAAATACCACTAAGAAAGTGAAGAAAACCTTATTTATTCTTCTGTGAAATAACTTCAATTATCTTGAGCTTCCTTGCTGATTACAACTTTAAAAAAAAAATGTTTCCTCTACCTGAACAAAAACAGTAAAATCATTCTAGAAACTTGAGAAGTGCTTCTCTATACAGTTACTTTCTTACATTACAATGCATGTATTATTTGACATTACTAAGTTTTCCTATAATCAGATAGCTTGCTTACAGAAGGATAATGTGTTCTCAGTTCTCAAATGTTGTAAATTACTACCAAGGCACTCATAGCTATACAGAACATCCACAGTTTTAACACTGAAGAATATGTATCAAAGATAATACTGTTCAAGAAATGGCAATCAATCATGTTTTGATTATAACAGAAAAATCAATGGATCCCCAGACACACACATACACAAACAAATTGTCCCTTATGGATCATTTTAATAATTTCATAGCTTCAACTATAATTTTGCAGCATTTTTTGTTTTCTTTTTTTTTTCCTCTCACACTTGTGACAGATCATTGTTTTAGAAAAATTTGCATGACTCATCCACTGGAGTGCTTTCTTTAAATACTTTTCCAAAAATAGGTATTGATTGTCTCTTGTAGAACTGGCTGGTCAGGTAACTGATTAATCAAACTTAAAAGATCAACAGCAACAATGCTTAAATTATGAGCTGCCTTAATCAAATCTTTATTTTTCAACCACACTCTTTCTTTCATGCTTTTTTTTAATCTTTATAATGAGTATATGTAGTAGTAAGGGATAGCAATGTTATTATTGTTACTATAATTTATAAATATTATCAGAGAAATTATTGGTATACCATAGTTGAATGTAGATTTTCTAACATGGATAATTATATTCCAGATTAATCTTACTTTACCACTAGTACTACGTCTTGAACAAGAACTTAATTGGTTATTGTTTACAGTTTGTAAGGTTTGTCTTTGTTATTTTTAACCTTAATATGCCCATGATGTGTGCCTGTGTTCAGTACCTGGATGATTGTGTGTAGAAGGTAGTACAAATAGAAGACAGACAATATTTGTATCTCCAAAAGTACTACAGGTTTTCAGCGTTTACATGGCCCATTACAAATAGGACAATGAGTCTAATATCTGCACTGATGAAAAATATTACAATAAAGCTCAAATTTTGGTACTGTGATAAAATTATTTTTCTTATCACAGTTTCTGATTTATAAATCACTGACTGTTTCATTCACAATCATAGTGTATTTGAAAAAGAATACTTGAAATAACATATGCAAAAATGTTGGAACAGTTTTCTAAGTTGGATCAGTACATTAATATTATTCTCATTCATCACTATTTTCAGTAATCATATGTGCATTTGTATTATTCTAATGAACTTGTACTTAAAAAAATTAATACAATTAAGGGATATTTTCTTTGTTAAGTCATTTAAACATTTTTCTATATTTTTATGTGCAGCATCAGATGATGAAATTCAGCAAATAATAAACAGTGCCAAGAGAATCCCAGAACCGAAAATATTACATTAATTTATCTATTAAACTCAGATTTCAATGAATTTGAAAGTGATGAAAGTAAACAGTATCTCACAAACTATTTTATTATAATTTTTGCAAATGTAAAACAATCTACTATATTGTACTCTAATTTTTAAGAAAGTGTGTGTGTGTCGACATGCTCCTAAATTATCCAAATACATTTTATGTATACTGTTATGCCTCTGGTCGTTTGTTAATTTTCCATAAAAATTCTTTCTGAAGAAACTTTAGCGATACAAGTCCTTTCTTAAATAAAAACTAGTTTATT